GGGGTTTTTTTTTTAATTTAGTGTTGGCCCTTTTGTTTTGGACTAAGAGAGTTGGGTATTTTAAAAAGTTTGTGCCCCTTTTTTTTGGACCTTTTGTTTTAAATAATTTCTGATGTTATTTAATTAAATATTAATAAACGACATTACTCTTATGATCGTTAATTGTCTACGATCAGTAGTCAACGATCAACAATCTGCCCGCCCCTGTTGAACTTTTGTGATGGGTCCGCCACTGTTCTAAGACAATGTGATCGAATATGGAGAACACCAATGAAATATGAAGTCCATATAAGCAAAACCAAACCTGAAAACCAAAGATCTTAATTGTTCTAAAATGATTGGCTACCTCTCAAGATGCGATATAACTCTCTCGTCGCGATATCACCTCCAAATTGGTTCTTCCGAGGTGACAAATTATTCCCAAAGTGATACTTTCGAGTTGAGGTGCCACATCATACTGCAGTGTATTTTCAATGTGTGTATTTTCAATATGATAGCATCTTTTGCAAATACCACATCGGTGAAAAGATACTCTGTATATCAGACACACTTGGAAGCGTACAATAGATACATTGTGTCAACTTTTCAATTCACATTTCAGATCATTTTATAATATAGGGTGGCTATTTTTCAGCTTGTGTCAAGTGGGCACATGCTTATAATAGTTGGGATTGACATCTTTTGACCAGTGAGCCATCAAGGATTCAAGATAATGTCACGTGTCAAACATCTAATGGACATCACTTCTTCTCTCTTGGAATAGAAGTTCACATTTGTGTCTTCCAAAGGTAAGGTTATTTTAACAATGAAACACTAGGAATGACAAAAAAACCTGACAAACTCGATATTTGCGGGCCCCACCCTGTAACCCGCTTAATTGGGTATTCGAGTATTCGGGTCCGGGACGAAGCAAGTTCGGGGCGAGGATAGGTAACGAGTGCCCCGCCTCGTTTAAATTTTTTTTTTTTAGAATTCAATACTTTAAATGAAAAATTTCACGAAATTTTATTAGTTTTAATAGAAAATGGCAACCAAAATTATTTATCTTGATCTAATGAATGGGGGAAATAAAATAAATTATCAAAAACTTAAAAAAAAAAAAATTAAACAGGATAGTAAACGGAGCAAGGATCCTCCCCGCCGAACCTTGCCTTAAATGGGGTAACGGGGCGGGAAATTGCCTGGCAGGGCAGGTGGGGGAAGTTGCCCCGGCCCGGCCCGGCCTGGCCCGTTGTCATCCCTATGAAACACTAAGCAATATATTTGCTAATGACGAAAACAATTGAAACCTTTGTTGATTTTCAACTGAACAAAGTTGAATTTTTCTTCTCAATGGGATATGGTATCTAAAAAACTAGAATTATGAATCTCAATTATATATTAAAAAATGTGGATGCAATCAGGCATAGAAGCTTCTAAGATATGGGCGGACCCAGCACCCAATGAGGGGTAGCGGTCACCTGTGCTGAATCTGTCAGTCTTCAATACCGCCATGCGCCGGGTCACTATTGCTGACTTGCTATTGCAGAGAAAAGACGGAAAGAAGAAGACCAATTTGGGGTTTTTTTTTTAATTTAGTGTTGGCCCTTTTGTTTTGGACTAAGAGAGTTGGGTATTTTAAAAAGTTTGTGCCCCTTTTTTTTGGACCTTTTGTTTTAAATAATTTCTGATGTTATTTAATTAAATATTAATAAACGACATTACTCTTATGATCGTTAATTGTCTACGATCAGTAGTCAACGATCAACAATCTGCCCGCCCCTGTTGAACTTTTGTGATGGGTCCGCCACTGTTCTAAGACAATGTGATCGAATATGGAGAACACCAATGAAATATGAAGTCCATATAAGCAAAACCAAACCTGAAAACCAAAGATCTTAATTAAAACTAATTTGAAGGGAAAAAACTAATCGTCCACCGCCATCTTTTGCTATCCCTATTGTGCACGTAAAATTATTGGGCAATATTTGAAGGGACGGGTTACCTAAATCTCTTGGTAAAATGAAATCTCAAACATGCTGCACAACCAGTGCGAAGCAGCCCTAGTACCAAATAAAATCGAATGGCGGAAATGCAATCAGCTGTCTCTAAGAAGAGTACTTCAAATCATATGGCACTGGCTAAATAAGCTAACCGGAGGTGCAGGCAAAAGTGTTGCATCAGATACATGCTATTGCTCAACATCCATCCAAACGTTGAAAGATTATAACTTTAATTTCAATGTTCAATTATCTAATTCCATTGAGAGATTATAAAAATAATAATAATTTTAAGAGTTGAATTATAATTTTTAAGAATCACACTATTAGTCAGGTAGGGTAGGACTGGGCTTAAGATTCTGGCCTACAAGGTTGACGGGCCAAGTATAACCTGGCCCACTGTTACAAGTCCAACCTTTCCATGTGGAAGATTATAAAGGCCTTGTTTCCAGCCTGCTTTACTCAAGTATGCAATTTGTGTGTGTTAGGATTTAATTATAGAGGAGATTATAATGAAAGGAAAAACGAGTTTCACGAAATGTAGTTTTATTTAAAATTAAAATTTGACTTAAAATTATAAATAACTTATAATTATTTTCCGAACATGAGTATATGTCACTGCTCCGATTCAAGTGTGCAGGTGCAAAGTTAAATGATGACAAATTAAGCATCTTTTCAAAATATAATTTAAAAATAATGGGTACCAAACAAGAGCTAAAAATTAACGTGTCACCTTCTCATGTGGTATGTTGCCAGGGTGGATGAGAGAAAAAATTGTAAGGCTATTAGGATGACATGGGTTTTCTTGTTCGGAGAACATTGTGGGTGTGCTAAAGCATGAGTGGTTGTTTTTCCCACAATTCTAGTGGGTTTAGTGAGTGAAATTTTATATGATTGTAACTAATGATGTCAAAAAGGGCACGATGCAATCAGGAACCTCGATTCCTACACTCCATCAACTAGTTCGATCCTAATTAACCGAGGTCACATTATTTATGATACATACATTCTATTATAATTCGACATTGACTGGTGATATTTATAAGATCCACTTGATAAAGTGAATGCGATCCTCCCCTAACAAGCCGGTTTTGTAAGGTTGAGTCAGACTCAATATCCTTTCTAATATGGTATCAGAGTATGCCTAATTTTGCAATGTTGGGTGCACCAATATCGATTTGTTTACAATTGTTTAGCATGATCTACGCTGTGTGTGAGAGGGCGTATTAGAATCTCACATTTACTAGTGATATTTACAAGATTCACTTAAGGTGAGGGCAATCCTCCCATAACAAACCGGTTTTGTTAGGTTGAGTTAGGCCCAATACCATTTCTAATACATTCCAAGCATCTCGATCCACAACAATTTAAATCTTTTTATTTTTTTATTATTTTTATTATTATAATTTCTTTTTTTGCTCAATTCGTTCATCTCTTAATTATCAGGACTGGCCAACAATGGACACAGTGGGGGAAAGGATCTGTTTTTATTGTTCATATTACTTGAATTTCTGGTATCTACATTAAAAATGGCAGAAATGAAAGTGATAAGGAGATCAAAAATTAAATGCAGAAAATTGTTCAAAGCACAAATAAAATAAACACTCTAATCAGCTGGCGCCTCGAGTAAGCATCTCATTGTACTGTAGATAAGATATTTGTCTTTGTAACTTCATTTGTCTGTAGAACTTGGCTATAAATTCCTCCGCTTTCAAATCAATTTCGTCGTCACAGCCATTTTCATCATCTCCGTCACAGCCATTCGAATATTGCTCTTCCACTCCGTTATCGTAGTCCATTTCGATTTCCTCCTCACTACCATTGAAATCAAAATCATATTCAAAATCCAGTACCTGTGGATTATTGATGCAGGGAATATGAGGCATCTTAAACTGCAATGAAGAAGGACGATGCATTTTCACGTGGATAAGCGGAGTGGCGTCGAATGAGAGCTCGCGTTCGCCGTAAATGAGTGGACCTCCACCGCGACCGCCGTGCCGGAGATTTTTGATGTATTTAGGTAGTGTATTTAAACTTATTGCCGGTCTCTTCCTGAACACGCCGCCTTCTCTTGCCCACAGCAAGGCTAGACGAATGATTTTCCACGCTCTACGAGTAAATTCTGAGCTGTTCTTCTGCATTTTGAAATATTTTCTTGTTCGCTGAAATTCCTTAAAAGGAAATTAACGAAATATAATTGCTAATTAGTGATAGATTTTGCAATGTGGGAGTTTAGATAGTGATTCGGTAGGGGAGAATATGAACTTATATATATACGTGTGATCGTATGTTTGCGCGGATCAGTTACGTTACGCGGTGGGGTAGGGTGGAAGAAAGGCGATATGTGGGACCCAGTGAGGTTATGCGGGCTGTACGCGTAATATATAGAGGCTGTTATGCTGATTACCAAAAGTACCCTCCTTATAATTAGTTTAGTTAAAAAGTAACAATAAATTATTAATTTTAATAATATATTTCACGAGATTTATAATTTTTATTGACTTTTCAATCATATTTTTTATTTATTTCTTATTTTTTAAACCTAATCGATTCCATTGCGTTTGATGCTACCGAAAACTTGTATCTGAATGAACTCGAACTGAATGATTGGACTCCCACGAACTGAACTTCAATACCGAAACAAATGCGTTGATGTGTGTTCTCGTTGTCCCTCCGATACTTAAGTCAAAAGGAGAAATTGCGCAGAAGACTGTATGCTGGAATATTAATAAAAACGTACTTGAATAGTGATGATGTATTATGTATTTATAAGTGTTGGAGATGAAGTCCTAAAATGATCCAACATTCTGTAGTATTCATTATTGTCATGCAAGGTGTTTGTGTTATATTAGAAGTGCAAAGTTTGAATTAGAGTCTAATTTGTGGTAGATTGAAAGTTTGTATTCAAGTAGGAAAAATAGAGAGTAATAGTCAAAATGACTAGACGAAAGTGCTTGGAGCCCAACCCCAAAATAGCTCGACTTCGTCGTAAGGCCCAAGCTTGGCACATGCTTAATTGGAGCCTACCAAGTTCGGGAAGGTGGTCAAGCTCGGGCTCAATAATTTCATGACGTATCACGTCCAATATTTGAGTGAATTTTCGAAATTTATTTTAACAATTTTTTGCATTTTCAAAATTTATATGTAATCGAATGAAGTTTCAGATTGATTTATGATTTTTCCATTCAAATAAAAAGAGGAGTCAGGAATTTTTTGTAATTTTGATATTATCTATCTTCGTTGTGTTATAATCCTGGGTACAAAAGTGGTATTGTTGAAAAAATAATCTGTAGAGGGTATTCTGGGCATACTACAGTACAGCAATGATTAGAAAAAGGATCATTACCTTTTGAACAGCTAAACACGCTTTGTCCAAATTTGGATCTTTGTTAATTCTCTCCTGTGTCTTGAGATGGAAGATTCTCTCCTGCGTCTTAAGAAGCAAGCCCCTGAAATAAAGAGTTGGCATGAGTAAACTTTTTGTTTTGTATTTTAATTCCTTCCCAATTTCTGTTTTTTGTTTGTATTTAATTATTTTACACGTAGAAACAAAGCCCTAGTTTGATGGGGATTAAAATCAGATTTTTAGAAGATTTTGACAAAAGTCGATAGAATGTGTGGTTGAAGAGTTGTGCGACCTATAAAATATATTGTTAAAATTAATTGTTAACTTTGATTTAGATTAAAATTTAGATTTCAATCTAACCAAACATGACTTTAAATAAATAAAAAAAAAGAACCATACTATGTGTACATAGCATGATACATAGGGGTGTACATAATGAAAAATTAATTGTTAACTTTGACTTCTATTAAAATTTAAATTTCTACCAAATCACGGCAGTTTCAAAGAAACTGCGTTTCTAGGAGCATATATTCACATGTTTCAACTTTCAACCAAGTGACTTTTTTATTAAAAATAAAATAAAATGATAAAAGGTAGAAAAAGTAATGTGAAAAATACATTTTTTTTGAATGCGTGAAAATAAGTGAAGAAATTTGATTTTAAAATAATCAATTCTACCCAAGCTCTTCGAAACTGATTTTTCAAATCACTTTTCCTCATGCTGATTTCAAACCGTTAAAAAAAAAAAAAGTCAACTTTCACAAATTCGAAAAATCAACTTCGCATGCTGTAAGTAATTACAAAGAAAACAAATGAAAGACAGAAACTTGCGGTCAAAGGAACTTTGGCAGAAAACCAATCCAACGAAGTTTACATGAAAAGCTGCAACCTGGTCTAGAAGAGTTTAAAAGTATTGAATGAATGGTTAAGATGCGATTCAAATCAAATTTTTAGCATATTTTGATAAAAAATAATAAATATATGGTTGAAAAGTTGAGAATTCATGAAATACGTAATTAAAATTAATGAATAACTTTGACTTAAATTAAAATTTTAATTTTAATTTCCACCTAACATGTTACAACTTACATCTAATTATTTCATCTGGCTCTTAAAATTGTTTACCTACTTCAATAATTTGACATAGAGATCACATGTATTCACTAAAATATTTTATTTTAAAGTATGAAAATTATTGTTGTTTCTGTAAACACAATATTTAAATTAGGAAGAATTGCAGTCATTATATCAAACCTTTCATTTTAGAGCAGATTTGATCAAAACCTTTCATTTATACCACCCACGAAATCAAATCTTTCAAAAATCCGCACTCGAAGTCCAATTGGATGAAAACCATTAATTTGACCATTAGTTTATCAGAAAATTGACATTGACCATAATTTTAACCAATTTTAAAAAAAATAAAATAGTAACTTCACGTATTTTCAACCAAAAAAATACAATTATAATATATTAAATAAATAAAAAAATCAAACACAAAATAACCCACCACCATCCTCCTCTTCCCCAACCCCCTTCCCCCAAAACCACCGCAACAGTCGTGGGCACCACCGCCATCCACACAACGCTGGTGACCAGTGAAAGCCTTTGTTTTTTGGGGAGAAATTGGCATAATTGTTTTGAGATTTTTAATTTAATTGGGCTTAACCTGTTTTCAAAAGAGTTACAATTTCGAAAGCCTTTGTTCAACAATTTTTTTTTGAGATTACGAGCTAGTCAAACTTCATTTTTAATTATACATTTCATTGGATTCATAACTTTTATCTACTATTTATCCACATATTTCATGAGACTAACGATTCATAATTTCAAAAGGCTTTGTTAAATAGGGACTTTAATTTCAAAGTACATTACTATCTACTTATTTAACCCTCATTTTTGTCCATTTACTATTTCTCCCAAACAAGCACTTAAAAAGATAATAAGGTTTTCACCCACAACAATGGTGCATAAACCGCAACTAGGCCGGTTTGGTACAAATTAAAATTTGATTTAAATCTTAAGTCAAAGTTAATAATTAATTTTAACCACACATTTCATGGGACACACAATTTTTCAACCACACATTCCATCTACTTTTATCAAAATCTACTAAAAATCTGATTTTAATCTCCAACAAACATGGGCGAAAGTGAGTTTTCCTTTAGCATCAAGAACTTGGTTTTGCGAGTTGCTTAACGCTCTCAAGAAAAGTATCTCCAAATCGTGGAGTTGGTACGAGAAAATCTAACTATTTGGCAATCTAATCTTTGACAATAGCCTCAAAAGCAAATAGGAGTGTCAAAGTTGGCTACTTGATCCTGAATTACCATCGCACTAAATCGACACATATAGTTAACCCATCCAAACTTGGACTTGATCCGTAATTATTTTTTTCCAGTAGACCAAACCAATCAGCCATTAGACCGTGGCTCAGACCAATTTGAATTCAGATCAAACTTTAATTGGAAGAGTCTAAATTGACTGTCTATTTTGACACCACCAACCTTTCTACAGCACGATTAGTCCTTGACGGCTCTATTCAATTTTATAGCTATTAAATCCCTGTAACAGAGCAAGGCACAAGCTAGAATTTTAAAAATTACAGAAATTAAATATGCAATTAATCAATTATTAATGAATTAATCTCATTAATAAACAAGCTCTACAGCCACAAATTCAAGAAAATAATGCAGAAAACAAGAGAGATAGCACTTTTACTATCAAACACCAAATATAAAGGAGAACTAAAGACGTAAAGTCACACATTAATCATTCAATTTTTTAAACTCTTTTTTGAATTAATGATGGCAAATCCTAAAATATGTTAAAATATAAACCCAATCTAAATCCAATAAACCCAGTCAAGATCCTGTCTGAAATTCATAAATCTGACAGAAAAGAAAAAAACCGATCGAAATAAGAAAACGTATCGACCTAGTAGCCATGGATGAGTTCAGAGCACTTGTTCTTGATCCAACGGAATCCATTTCTGATTGAAGCTTTGACTCTACCTTCAACAGTGTACACTTTGTACTTTGCAATTCTCTTCCGTCTCTTCATTTCAGGATCATTGAATCCCCATGGCTTCGCCGCCACCTGGCTAGGCCGAGTGACAGACGGAACCGGTGGTAAATCAGGTGAACGAGGCTGACTCGATGTCGCGTACATCTGATTTCCAAAACTAGATTTTCCACTCACCGTCTTTGGCCTCCAGTCACCACCGCCACCATAACTCGGCCGCCCCATGTCTTCCATTGTTACCACCAAACCGCTCGATAGATAGAGAGATTTGAGGTGTCAAAATGTACTTTTCAAGGGCAGTTTCAAAAGACTTTTATAATTGAACTGTGCTTTTCATCGAATACTGCGCGAGAAGGGTCCCAATGGGGTTGTGTGAAAATATTCCTTTTAATGAGAGTTGTGAGACNGAAAATATTCCTTTTAATGAGAGTTGTGAGACATAAAAATAAGAGTAATGGAGGGAGGTGGTCAGAAGGGCGGCAGGAGGGCCAGAAGTTGAGCTGTAACGCTGTGCTGGTGGGTTTGTGTACTCGATGCTCCCTTCTTTTTACTTTTTATATAAATCTATTTTTTTGAATTTAAAAGTTTTTAATAATTAATGTCGTGCCAACCTCGCCTCTCTCGATCGATCGATCTGCCACTCAAAAGTTGTAATAATTTTAAAAGTTCTTTTTTATTTTTCATAAGTCACACAGAAGTTGGGTATTCATAGGAAAATGAAGACCTTGTTCGATAATGTGAATCACCGAGCGTTGAGAGACCAAAATTTAAGCACAATGCTTAGTCAAATTAATAAAAATTCATGGATCGAGTATTAACTTTGCCAAAATAAAAAGTCAGATGCTAAAGTTCAAAATTGCAAAAATCAAGTTTTTATTAATTAATTAAATATTTAATTGTAATATAATATAATTAACCTACCTTCACCCCACCTCCACCACCCATACTGCTTCGACGATAGTTCTGGTGCCACTATGCTCCAACGATTATTCTGACGATTATTTCGGTGACTGATGACTACTCCGGTGACTTTTTCGATAGCCGTTCCGCCGCCGCTTAATTCCGACGATTGGTCCGATTCCAACAATTTTTAATGTCAGTCATATACAATTTGGTCACAAATATCTTATTAATTAATTAAAAATTAATTTTCGATCACGATTTATCAAATTATTTGGTCACAGATTATTTTGAGATCACAAATCAAAAAATTTATAAGTTACAATTGACTTTATTGGTCACTGATAAACAAAACTATAGGTTACAGATTTTTCATTAGTTACAAGTTAAAAAAATTATAGATAACAGAAATCACATATTTCCAAATTAGTTAGTCACAGATTATTGAATTTTAAGGTCACGGTTTAATAGTTAGTCACAGAGAACAGTATAGTGGGTCACAAACACCCGTCCCGCGATCCACATCCACCTCCAATACTTGGTCACAGACCGACTAAATAGTTGGTCACGGATACTCTTCGATACCACTGCCACAACCATCCACCAACAATAACACCAACCACGTTGGGATCGATAACACCAACCATCCTACTATATTAATCGATATAAAAAATTGTTGTAAAGTAAAAACTAGTTAAAGAAATTAAAAAAGTTGCTCGGATGTGCTCCTCTCATCTGAAGATCAGACGGGCGTGGAGACCCAATCACGAAATCACCACTGTTAGCACAAATATTTCTTCACAGTAGCTCTTTTTAATATAACGCACCGGCTGGGAATCAAGCCCAAGTCTAAACCGTGTGAGGGTACTATTCTACAACTAGAAAACTGATGCTTTGATGTTTAAGTAAAATACCATTTGACAGCATATCACAAAGGTCACTAATTTGCGCCGTGAGGGTGGGGGAGGGAGGGAGGGAGGGGGCGATGGAGGCTGCGGACGGTAGAAAGACCTGGAGAGAGAGAGAGAGAGAGAGAGAGGGAGAGAGGGATTCGCGACGCCGACGGTGAGGAGAAGGTAGGGAGGGGGAGGAAGAAGGGAGGAGATGAGAGAGAAGGAGAGGAGGAGGTGGTGAGCGGTGGAGGCGACGGGTGAGAGAGTGGAGAGAAATGAAGTGGATTAATGTAGGGTTCGGATAGATGTAGGGTTTTATATACAAAATAAAATACCTGATTTTTGAATAGATAAACCTCGAACCTGAATTTTAAAAAATCGCAACTTAACACCTGGTCGTTGGTAATTTTCCCTAAATTACATACTTCTTTGGGTTTGAAGTCCAAATAAGAATTGACCCTCTTGTATTTGATTGGGCCTCCAGTTGTAATGTGCTCATACTGGATGAGATTACGAGCGGTGAATTAAAGCCTGCCCCAATCTTTAGAGGCAGATCCTATCCAGTCGGTAATGGCCCAAGTCCAGCTAGGGTTCCATCTAACCTACGCCAGCGGAAACAACGCACACGCACTTGATTCGATGCACCGTGATAGGCGCTATAGAATCGTGAGCCATATATGGTCCCACCGCAGCCGAAAATATTTGGGCCTTATGCGCACGATAATCCCATTCCACCATTCAGCGCACGGTAGCTCTTCCACGCTACCCAGAGTCCGTCTTCCTCTTGGATGCGCACAGCGCACTGCTCCCGCTTTCCTGATCTTACCCGCCCAATAAATATTTATTTTTCTGCTTAAAATTTCTCGAAATTTCTATTTTAGTTCTCGAATTCAGTAGCTCCAATAAATTTTCCCTCTTACTTGGTTAGTGGATTATTTATAATCCTTTTTCGTACAAAATCTTATTTATGTTTTTATGGAAAATGAAAATTCTTCATGCCCGTATGTTTGTTATTTCAGGGATTAGCAAATTTTGCTTGTTGTATTAATTCACATTTTTATTTCTATCAAGATAAGCATTAGATCCTAAATATTGAGCATTTGATTTGAAGTCATGGGAATTGATTTTCAGACTTTCGAATCAAGCGACATGATGATGGTATTTCCTAGAGATGATCTAAATGGAGAAGCGTTAGGATCATTTAGGGTTTTGACGATCTTGAACTGTAGCTGTTGATGTAAATTGTAACGGTGAGTTTGTTGCTTATCGAAGTTGCTTTAATTTAAGATTATTTGAAATGTTAATTTGACTGTATGATTAAATGCTACAGATTTGGAATTGGAATGACAGTTTGAACATGGGGCAAAAATTATTCTCTGTAGGCGAAGAAAATGAAGATAGGGCCTGAATGACTACGTTGTTACTGAATTTAATATCATTACCATTTTTGCTTGTTGAGGTGTCATGGTCTTTGTGATTACATTGTTGAGTACTGATCTGGATATAGAAATTTTGAACGATAAACAAACTTTTGTTGGTGGATAACTCTGTTTATTGTTGAATATGAAAATTTTCTAGAATTTCACGGTACTAAGTGATTATTCTTGGACTTCAAAGTTAACCCACAAACACATAGGATTGATTGATAGGGGTGAGACTATCATTAATCTTTACAGGTTGAAATGACATCATGAAGAAGTGGAAATTGGTATTCCATATGCATTCTCTACACTTTACAGTGATTTTCCTGTGATTGGGTTCTTGTGAAATGTACCATCAAGCATGCTCATCTTCAGCATTTTGTACTTTTATCACTTGCTGATCCCTCACCCCCATCAAAACACACACCTCAAGAGAGAAGAAAACATAATTCTAATGGCAAGTTTGATAAGTGATATTGGAGTGAATTGGACAATGTAGTGCACAAGATTTTAGTTCTTTTTTCTTTCTTAATATCTAATACTATCTAATCATGTTCCGTCCCCTGATCAAACATGCCATAAGAGTTTAGTTGTCTGGCCTCACGATCTTATATCTTCTTTTTTGCAGCCTTAAGAATTCTAGTTGTGAAATGTTACTTAATGTCCCTATAATTTTGCAGTTGGCTCTGTGATATTAGTCATAATCATACTAAAATTCCAATCATTCTCAGCTGATTTATCTGCATACTGGTTTATCTTGATTGGAGTAATGCCCGAGATAACAAATATAATGAAGGAAAGTTCTGAAAATGGATCAGAGTCTTCTCCAAATGATAATGGCACTGTAGAGGAAATGCCAGAGGACACAATTTTGTCGCGACAAACATCTGTGAACCTTGTGCCATTCATTGGTCAAAGATTTGTCTCTCAGGATGCGGCATATGAATTCTATTGTAGCTTTGCCAAGCAATGTGGGTTCTCAATCAGACGTCATAGGACTCGTGGAAAAGACGGCGTTGGCAAGGGGATTACGAGAAGGGATTTTACATGCCATCGTGGTGGATTTCCACAACTAAAGCCATCAGATGATGGAAAGTCACAAAGGAATCGAATTTCCTCGCGTTGTGGATGTCAAGCGTATATGAGAATAGTCAAAAGGGCAAATTTCGACGTCCCTGAATGGCGTGTCACAGGTTTTAGCAATGTGCATAACCATGACCTCTTGCAGCTCAATGAGGCTCGACTACTCCCAGCCTGCTGCACAATGACTGTTGATGACAAGAGTCGTATATGCATGTATGCAAAAGCTGGGATGTCAGTTCGGCAAATGCTTAGGTTAATGGAACTAGAAAAAGGTGTTAAGCTAGGTTGTTTATCATTCACAGAGATTGACGTCAGAAGCTTGCTTCAGTTGTTCAGAAATGTGGAGCGGGATGATGACCCAATTGACCTTCTCAAAATGTGCAAGGAGAAGAAAGACAAAGATCCCAACTTCAAGTACAACTTTAAAATAGATGCCAATAACAGATTAGAGCACATTGCGTGGTCGTATGCTTCGTCGATCAGATTGTATGAGGCCTTTGGAGATACCATTGTTTTTGATACTACTCACCGCTTGGATGCATATGATATGTTGCTCGGGATTTGGATTGGAGTGGACAATCATGGAACAAATTGTTTCTTTGGCTGCGTACTTCTTAGAGATGAAAATAAGCAGTCATTCGCATGGGCTCTGAAGGTAAGTAGCTACATAAGCACCATTCTCCGTGTTTATTCCATGGCTGAAGTTTAGATTTTCATGTTCTATTTTTAAACCTTATAGATATTACTTAAGTTACCAACATTTGACTGCATTTTCGTGTATGCCTTGATGCAAGATGCAGAAATAATTTCGATTGACTTGTTTATTAGGATCCTAATGATGCCTGTGAGCATGAGTTTGTATACTTCTATACTTTTAGAGTATGTTTGGATAAAGTTAACTAAGCCCCTGTTTGACAGACGTATATTAACCAACATAAAAGAGGTTTTTGGGGGAAAATAAATTGAATTAGTGATTTTTTTTAGAGAATGTGTGGTTAAAAGGTATGCAAAAATTTTGGGTTTACGTGCATAATTTTTTATTATGTGAATGCGCAGTTGAAAATGAGTATGTAAAAAAGAGTTTTGAAATAATTGTTGTCAAAGAGGGGCTAAATAAGCTTTGAACTTTTTTTTTATCGGGCCAACTTCCAAGTGGAATATGAGTATTTTACTTAAAAAAAAAAAGTAACATATTGAACGGAAACAAACAATTACTTGAAACTCAAGCTAATAGACACTTCACTTAAGCCTGTGATTTGCTAGCATTGCATCTGGCATCTGCTGACAAATGTTCAATCCCTTATACATTCATTTTCAGGAACTGAATACCGGAATTTTGATTGCACGAAAACTGTTCAAACGAATATTACTGTATATTTTTTAAATTTTTGTTTGTTGTTGTGTTCACTCCCAGGAAAAAAAAAAACTTGCATTCGAAATTCCACCAATTTGTTACCCCATCTATGTTTTGATCCCTGCAGAGGGCCATATTTAATTGTTGCACCATTTACAATATGTTATCTGCCAGTGGAATGTGATCATATAGCATTTCATCATATCTGTATAGACTAGAGTAGTTTTGAGATTTCGAGAGGATATCCTTTTTGTCATTTATATTCTTTCGTTGTATTTGACAGACGTTCTTGGAATTCATGAATGGAAAAGCTCCGGGAACAATTTTAACTGATCAAAACATGTGGCTTAAAGAAGCACTTGCTACTGAAATGCCAAGGACCAAGCATGCCTTTGCCTTTTGGCATGTCATTTCAAAGTTTCCAGATTGGTTTTCTGTAGTACTTGGCTCGCAATATGATAACTGGAAATCTGAGTTCCATCGGCTTTATAATTTGCACTCAGTTGAGGAATTCGAAGTGGGATGGAGGGATATGGTTGATGCATATGGTCTGTGTGGAAATAACCATGTTGTCAGCCTGTATGCATTGCGTTCATATTGGGCACTACCTTTTCTGAGATGTTATTTCTTCGCAGGAATGACCAGTACATCCCAGTCAGAATCGATAAACTCGTGCATCCAACGTTTTTTGAGTGCACAATCTCTGCTCGAGAATTTTGTTGAGCAGGTACCAAACTATTTCCTTCTGTTTGTTTCTTTATGAGTCATTACTAATTACAGTTGTCAATTTTATATAGAGAAAAGTGTACTGTTAGTTTCTAACATATTATCCGAGTATCTAGTTGGTCCTTGATCTTTATGAAAGAGAGAGTTGGTACTCAACCTTCTATTATAGTCGCGTTATCTGTCCTTGGTGACAAAAACCGTCAAAATCTCCATATAAATGTTATGTGTACCTTTGAAGGCCACACGACTATTTAAAAAGATTTGGACACCCTTTTTCATTGGGAATTAATTGGAGCAATTATAATTAAAGGATGCCTAGTGCTGTAATCTTTTCTTGTATATACACTTTCGCAGGTTGCCACAGTTTTAGATGCTAAAGATCAAGCAGGAATAAAACAAAAGATGCAACGGAAGATCCCTGAAGTATCCCTCAAAACAGGTTCCCCAATTGAGTCGAATGCTGCAGCTGTTCTTACACCATATGCCTTCTGCAAACTACAGGAGGAACTCTTATTGGCACCCCAATATGCATCGTTAATGGTAGATGAAAATAACTTTATTGTGAGACACCATACGGAAAAGGATGGGGGGTGCAAAGTATTATGGATTCCGAATGATGAGTTGATAAGTTGTAACTGTAATCACTTTGAGTTTTCAGGCATCCTCTGCAGACATGTTCTTCGTGTTCTCTCAATCAACAATTGTTTTCAGATTCCCAACCGATATCTGCCCATGCGCTGGCGTGATGTCCCCTCATCATCAACTAAACCTGTTCATGCTACTTCCGGAAAGATTCAGTTATTGCAATCAATGATTTCAAGACTACTTACAGAATCAATCGAGACAGCAGATCGCCTTGATGTTGCTTGTGATCACGTCGCTTTCGTTTTGGCCCAAATCAAAGAATTTCCCGTTGCATCAGAGGGTGCTAATGATATTCCTTACAACAGTCCATCCGATTCCCTTGTGCTTCCAGAAGTTGAAGATTCTGATGGTATTGTTCGAAGTTTCAGTGGAAATCCCCACGAATCATTAACTTTTTCAAAGTTGAAAGAGAGAACATGGAGAGATGGACTGGGAGATATATACAGGAAGAGAAGGCGTTTTTCAGTTCCTTGTTGTGATCAATATGGACATGATGCTATTGACTGCCCAGTGCTGGGAGGTGATGATTACAATGGAGATGGGTCGGGGTTTTTATAGGTTAGTGTTTGGTACGCTGGATTTACATCGACAGACAGGATCGAGAAAAAAGTCAAGATCTTATGCACTCAGAACTGACTGGATTAAAATAGTTCCGGTATAGTGGGAGTCCAATGTCCGTAGTGCAATATTCATAATCCCCTGTTAACCAGTGTAAAGTTTAAAATAGTATGCTTGTTTAATCTCCTCATGAAGAGTATAAATCTCGAGAGAATGTATTTACATTTGTGTCCCAATTCCCATTCCAAGATTGCAAACAGCACATTTCCCCAGATCTGAGCCCAGTGGAAAATTGTTGAGCAAACTTGTTGATAAGCACATTGTTTCATAGCATCATCTCAAAAATCATGTTACATGTACATCACCCCTTTACATATTTTTTACATTGTCACGTGACAACACACCATTGAACAGTTTAAATTTCTCACATTGTTTCCACCCAATCAACACTTGCCAACATTGCCAATATTCACCATAATGTCAAGAAAAGAGTATACAAATGATACAAATGATATTAAGAAACACTTATAAGTAAAGATAAGAAAATTACGTTATAATTAAAAAAAATTACTTATAAGTAAAAAATCACTTTTATATAAAAAATTTTGTTTATCAAATAAAAATACTACTAATAAGACAAAAATTCACTTAAAAAATATAAAAAGTTACTTATAAGTAAAAAAACTTCACTTATAAGTAAAAAAAAATATTAACTTAAGATTTTAAATAAATATTTAATCATAACTTATATGTAAAAAAATTAACTACAAGCAAAATATCACTTATGAATAAAATAAAAATTTCGCTACGTGTGACGGGTGTGTAATTTTATTCACTTTTAAACAACTTTTAGAACCGATGGTCGATGGATAATAAACTCTCAAACATAAATTGGACAATTTTAAAAATCGCCACTAGAATCACTCAAAATCAATCTGTTCATAGACGCTCAAAATTGATACTTTTAAAAAAATGCTCATAAGTGGTCATGCCTTAGCAAAATTCCTTGGTGGGCAAAGATGTAACAATGTGCGAGCATTATATGCAATAATCTACTTCCAAGCATTTGCAAGAGAGTTTAAGAGAAGCTTTGAAAGACTACGACAGAAATGTGGTGCTGAGCAGGAAGGTGAAGAGTACTAACATAGTTCAGAATTCCGAAAATCGCTGCAGGGTTGATTGTTTTTCTTCTAAGAGTTAACGCATATTTCCAATATTATCTCATCCATCTTACCAAACACGTCACTAGAGTATCAACGTTTCCTTTTCTTAAAATGTTCACAAAGACGAACTATTTAGATTCAACGATCTAACAAGAAAATGCTGGGACTCGACTGTTTTTAAAGTTCTTTTAACCCTGTGGCATCTCCAATATCATATAAGTATGCAATTTCGAACGAGTTAAAATAGCTTGAAATTTCCTGAACCATCCACAAACTCACGAAGCAGCAGGCAATGTATCCTTTCTTTTGCTGAATGCAAATCCGATATATCGTCTCTGGTAGCTAACTGCAGCCTGAAGAGAATCCTCTGCAGATTAACAAATTTCTGTCAATTTACAAAGCCTACTTATATGTAGTGTAGGATAGAGTGATGGAGGCATGGAGCAGACTGCTCTTGCCATTCCATGAGACCACACAGCATCTTCATAGTTGTCTTGTTCACAGTGTAAAATAATAAGAATTGTAGATTGCATTAGAAAGTGTCATATCACCTCAAAATGTATACGTGACAAAGTAAAAGGTGAAGGAAACTCTACGTTATTTCTCTAGTACATGTGGCCCACAATTAGTGCAATC